TAACAAATTATGAGAAAAACTAATACTTTGTATGATGTAATATTGAGATAACGAACAATATTCAAGCTCAAAGTCCATTGAAACAATACAAATCGGGAGTAGAGCAAACACGGATCTCCAAAAATATCAGAGGTGGGATCAGGTGCCATGGACAAGTGAGCACCCCTACCTACCGGTCACACCTGCCGTGTGCTCCTTGTCATGATCGGGAAATAACGGAAAAATAAGTCGACAATTCAGCGTGTAAATAATGGCCTAACAATAAGTATGAAAAACGTCAGTCAGCATCTGACTTAATGATAGATTGTATTTGCTGACAAGGTCATTGTATCGACCATAGGACTTTCGAAATGATGACTTCAAACGAGATTGTTAATATCCTTGTTTCATCAACTTGTTTGTCAATAACTTACCTCGTTTTAGAAATTGTTCGTAGAACATGCTCTTGCGTATAGAATCAACTGAGAGATATACATGTACACCCCGTATGCAGGTGATAAGGGTATATTGCTGCATAGGTAAGGGAAGCTGACGTTTGCAAAGTTAAAGTCATCACGTTTATAATAAACCTTTGTTGTTAAATTACCATTAACGTCTTTTTCTAGTTAATCCAGATATCCAGATATGTAACAGATGTGAAAGACTTCTAAAAATTCCAGACAGACAAATAGAGACATCAAAATGATAAATACCCTGTTGAAATGTTAAAATTTTAAAATCTTATTTCAGTATTATGAAAAAAGGCTTAAATAATGATTACACTTCTCATACTGGTTTCATTGTTTCTCAAGGACTCGATGTGTAGCTGAATTTCGATCCAGCAAAGACCTTCCTGAGGAATCCAAGTCAATTACTTTGAATTATCAGTGCATGGGGAATGAAACAGCTCTACATAGATGTCCCTATCAGTTTGACCAAAACGCTTTTGAAAGGAATTGTGGCCGACAGCCTCGTTTTGCAGTCATTTGTGGATTACGTGAGTAAACATCTTACTTCATCTGGTTCATAGGCCAGCTAAATTGTCATGTTATCAGTACTTCAATGAAGTCGAAATGAGCTAATGCTATACCCATGGCGTTTGTTTCGACGTTGGCGTCCCGTAAGGCAGGTGCATTCCCAAGTAACTATATTGTATGGTTGATGCATCTACTGCCATCTAGGAATCCACACTTGTTTTGGATACTGGATATACTTTCATTTTCTGGATGAATGACAAGTGAAAGTTTTTGGAGAAAGTTCATTTCTAAATAGATGCATTTAGTGACGATGAATCAGAAAGTAAAAAAAAAAATTAACAGAATTCACAAAAAGGGTGCAAGATAGAAATTGCCACATGCGTTTACTATAAAATTTAAAAAAAAATCTGTCCAAAGAACAAAGCACATTTTAACGTCATTTACGTAATCACATATTTACATGTAGTGACTTCCTCAGCCACTTTAAGTGTCTTATATTTTTGTTCCCTCTTTCCTTCCCTTCCTGGGGGGGTGGGGGGTGGGGTGAGTAATAACATTGTTTTCTTACTTGTCTTTTGAAAGGACTAAATCAAAATTATTACCAATGGAGCGTACATTGTACTTGAATATTGTTGGTGTTTAAGAATGATTTGAATGGCTTATTTTTGATTATAGTCTGTCCCACCAAGCTACTGTCACCACTTTTTGCAACATATCTCAAAATATATAAATACCTTGGCCTTCAACCTAGGTTCGAGAGATAGATCATTTTTTTTCCAAACTTCCTGCATTTATCCGAACCCTCGAGTTCAATCGGTGTATTGAAACGGCGGCAAATTCAAAGTCTACGGGGATTTAACATGGTAAACTCGTCCATTAGCGTCAAGATCACGGGGCAGAAAACCAGTTTATCGAGGGAGTAGTCGTTCTTTCCAAATTAAAATTACAAAAAATCCTAAAAATTCAACGAAAGCAATTCAGTGTGTTTTGGTAAAAAATATAAGAATTGTTTTGCATTCAAATATATTTGACGAGTTTTCTCATAAACTGAGAGAAAATAATCCGAATTCAATGCAGTACAAGTTGTGGATAACGCACTGCTCTAGAAAGGGGATGTTGACATGATGTGTAATAGTCCGGTTCCGAAATACCGATTTCGTAAAAATTTCCGTCAACAGTTTAGATGTTACTTTTGACGCAATATTTACTTCCGGGGAGTTCAATATTTTCTCAACGTACCATGTGTTTATCATGTGCAAAGCGTGGTTACTGGCTTGAAGATTAAAAAACAGGTGAGTTTTCCTGTTTTCCTTTAAATATATGATTAATTTAAGCATTTCATACTTTGGTGTTGATCAATAGAAGCTACGTTTGTTTGAAACGACAGACGGGGGGGGGGGGGGGGGGGGGTGTTAGCATGTCGACAGTGGTCGATGCAGAAAAAGAAAGTATTCTGGTTACATGTTTTTTTTTAACGCAGTTTACAAAAGTGTTAATTCTTATTTATTTGATGTGTAGAAGTTATTGTTCTCAACTGATAAAATCAAATACATAAGTGATTAACTGATTAGTCAGTTAATAGTGAAAATTCATGAAACCAGAAAACTTGTAAATAAGTGTTTTCCTGACCTTAAATTAGTCTACATACTATGTAGATAACACTGTTTAAACCTCGAAAATTTGCTCAAAAACGTATTAGGTTGTAAATAAAGACATAGCCAAATGTAATATGTTTACAGTTTCCTGATTGAACTCTGTGTCAGAAGATATAGGGTTGAAAATGAAGAAACCTTTTTTCAGTGGGTTTTTTTTTATTTTAGTCATGTCATCTGATTCAGACACAGAGAGTGAATACTGTGATGCAGAAAAACATCTGTCATTGGATGAATTGAAGTCATTAAGAGTGGCAGAACTGAAGGAATGGTTATCACAAAGAGGACTGAAGAGGTCTGGAAACAAAGAAGTTCTTATAAACAGAGTCTACAGGGCAATGAGTAATAGTATAGACTCAGATGAAGCTAGCGATACCAATGATTCTCCTTCAAAGAGTGATGAATCCATTGTTCCAGTGCAAACATTGTCCAAAGATTGGAAATCTATTGAAAGTGAAGACATTCCTGATATTTCAATCAAAGATATTGATGCCTACTTTTTATACCATAAAAATCCCACAGGAGGAACAACAAATTTTGAACATCAAATGAAGAAGGCAAAGAAATTGAGTAATGAAGGATTTGTCAAGGACATTGAATTCAATGAAGTGAAAGAAGAATGTAAATACTGTTATATTAGATGCAATTGTATGCCTTCAATGAGACAAAATGTTATTATTGGAAACTTTGGTAAAACTGCAAATTTTTATTCATTACATATTTGTACTATGAAAACATCTGGGCATATTCTTCAGGCAGAGTGTAACTGTAAAGCAGGAGCAGCAGGACTTTGTGCGCATATAGGTGCCTTATTGTACACATTAATAAAAACTAAAAGGGCATGCACAAGTAATGAATGCAGATGGGATCGGCCCAGACCACTGCGGAGGAAACCTAGTCCAAAGCGAGTATGTGATATAAGCTTTTATAAAACTGATAAAGAGAACCCAGTGGAAAAAGTGAAGCCTTATCCTGGTGTTTACCAAGCTGGACCATGCCAAGATGATAGTGAAATTTTTTAAAACGAGATTTTAAATGGCTTGAAAGATCTATATCCCCAAAGTGTGATTTATCAAACTCTTACTGCAAAACCGGCAGATATAAGTTCTTTTCTAAATCTTTTCATTCCAAATTTCATGTACGCAGATCATGTGGACTTAAATTCCAAGAACTGTATAGATACTTTTTATAATTTTCTTTCAAATTTGATGGTTACTGATGAAGTAAGTCTTAATTTGGAAAAAGGAACAAGGGGTCAACATATCAACCAAAACTGGAGAGAGGCAAGAAGTTGTCTTGTTACAGCCTCGGTTATGGGCGAGGTTGTGAAACGTTTAACTACCAAACCTGACAATCTTGTTAAAAAAATTCGAGGGTATGTAACCATTCCAGATATTGTGAAAAGCTTAAAATATGGTCGTAAATATGAACCTGTGGCTGTGGAACATTATGTCCAGAACCATATGGAAAAGTGCAAGAAAGTTCAGATAGAATCCAGGGGTCTGCTTGTTAATCCAAAATATCCATATATAGGTGCAAGTATTGATGGCCTTGTCATTTGTGAGGATTGTGGGACTGGGTTACTTGAAGTTAAATGTCCATTTGGCTCTTTAAAAAGTAAAAAACCATGGAGGCATATGGTACCTACAGAATGTGGGAAGGATGGAAATTTTTTTTGTACAGAAAGCAATGAAAATCTGTTTCTGAAAGAAAAACATAATTACATGTATCAAATACAAGGACAATTAGCTATTTATGAACTTGAATGGGTTGACTTTGTTGTATGGACAAAGAGAGGAATAAGTGTTCAGAGAATAACTTTTTCACCTGAAATTTGGAAATATATGTTACCAAAATTGAAAGCATTCTATCTTAGTGGAATTATACCAGAACTGTTTACCAGTAGAGTTAAACGTAGTATTTCTTTATACTGATTGCATGGACAAATTTTAATGTTTATATTTGGGCAATTTGAAACTTATTTTATGCTGAAAACCATGCCTGAAATTGGATATATACTGTATTAAATAAAAAAAACAAAATTTTGTTATAATCTTTATTACCCTTATTCTAAACTTGTACAGAACACAGCTCTCTATATATTTAGTAAACAACAAAGGGTGGATCACAAAGCTAATGGTGATGTTGAATAACATTTATATTTTGGACAGTTCAACTTTAATTTCTTTAGCTCAATATATACATGTATAAACATTATTAAGATTTTATATAAGCGCATGATGTTTAACTAATACATGTAATCCTGAAGCCTCATATTGAACATCCCTAAATAAAAACTATTCACAACTACTGTATATCATGTATATAATGCTGTGTCGTAGGCAATACTATTCTGTACAAGTATTAAACAGTAACTGCATAAATTTATTTTTTACTGTAGAAGAGGTGGTAACAAGTTGGTTAATGACACACATATAACAATTAATTGTTCCGACAGATGTGCTTCTGAGAGAGGTAATACAGAATTCAGAATTTGAAAATTCTTAATTTGCTCCATTTTCATCTCTACTACTATTCTAGCTGAGGCAATATGTGCAGTTTTAAAAAACTCTGATGAAGACATTTGACTTTTAGTTGACACCCGAGGAGGAACATTCAAACCAATATCTGCAGGCAGTAAATCTTCTATGGTAAAACCCTTGTCTGCCATAATAACGTCACCCGGGGACAATTTAGGTATTAAGTCATCATTTTGAACTATGTGCCTATCAGATGCATTCCCTCCCCATAACCTAGATACAAATGATACCATCCCATTTGGTGTTACCCCTATAAGTATTTTGAATGTATTGTGATGCTTATACTCGGACCAAGTTAACCACTGAGCTACGAGAGATGATGGTCTTTCCACAAAAAATTCAGTGCAGTCGACTACTAGACGAGTATCTGAGTGATCGTTAAAGTGTCTTGGTAAATTAGCAAGTATCTGTTCCCTTGTAGGCCATGCAATTAAACCTCTAGCATGATCATATATAAAGTTCACCCAAGTATTGAATATTCTTGATACACTAGTTTTTGAAATTCTAAATATGTCTGCTAAATGTTCTTGATTCAGTCCGAGTCGGAGTCTCATGCATGTTAGTAGGAATTCATCTATGGGTCGTAGAAATCTTTTTTTCCCTGGTTTCTGATGGCCGTCTTGATGATATTGCTTGTCACTCATTGAACGTCTTTCACCTTCCCAGTAGTTTAATTTCTCTGCACCATGTTTTAGAAGGGTTAAAAAGAACAACCATAAAACTTGGAATGTAGGGAAGCCTGTATAAAAGCGAACTTTTTCATCACTGTTCCTGATGTCTTCATAAACCATTCGAGGCAAATCACACGGAACAGCAGCATCATTGGTTGAGCAGAAAGAGTGACCTGCTTGTACTCCCACATCAAATGTGATGTTGTAGGGACTTGTACTGGTACTTTTATGTACTGTGTTTGTTGTTTCAGGTAAAATGTTTTGTTCAGAGGTATTTTCTTTAACAGGTTCATTTTCATTACAGTCAACTGATGTACCTTTTTCATCAGGATAAGTACTGTCACTGGAACTAGTCTCTGAATTAGTAATGTTGCTAGTAGAATCAGTGTGCCGTGTCAGTGGTCTTCTTTCTTTAATTTCTTTTACTGGTTTTGATGGAAAAATTGTTGGAATGGATTCGTCTGTGAAAGGGGTTTTAAAATGAGCACTGCATATTCTTGAACTATCGCTTATAATAAAATTAGCCCTAACAGTTTTTACTTTGCTTATCCATTGACGTCTGATATGCGCTTTTTTCTGGGACATGGGAAATCTATGGAGAATGACTTTTGAACCGTCTTGCTGGACAGAAGTAGACGTATTATGGCACAGTGGAACGCAACAATACTTTTTACCCATGCTAAAAGAAAAATAACAAATACCATGAATATAAACTGTACATTTCTTTTCTTAAATCAAACATGTCGATCTATAAATCAGGAAAAGATCAGGTCGGCAAGGTATGAAACCCTCGTCCTCGACATAAGTCGATAATATTTAAACGTCCTAGGTCATTATTATCTATAAATAGCGCTGGTCCTACCTGTGTTTTTCTGTGCACTAAAGCGTTAAGGTAAAGCGTGAACTCCCCGGAAGCGCCTTGCGCATTATAAATATCAAACTCGAAAACGGTTTTTTACGTAAAATAACCATTGCGGAATCGGACTATTAATATGCAGCGACAACGCTGCGATTGATAAGAAATTAATACAAGTAATGTTAGGATGTTCAAGTTCATTATTAAGATTTCAAGTATAACACTTGAATTTTATCACTTCATTCAAAATCGGTAAAGAAAAAAAACCCACTGCTGAGGGGGGGGGGGGGGTACCGGTAATGTTCTTTTTATCTCAATCGCAATTCAGTATATAGTCCAAACTCTCAAACATTTGTTCTTCATTGTGTTTTTTTCTTTATCAATTTTTCATCGGCAAAATGTAAAATACTTGCATTCAGCTTAGATACAGACAGCTTAATTTTATTATATAGAAAAAAATGTATTTGATACTTGTATTTCGTAATACATTTAGTATATTAATATCTGTTTAGAGTGTCATAAAGGTCCGATATGCCGGGTGTATAATACGTGTATAATACAGCCTTTCAATTTTTCGGCTTAGCAATGTACGGTAACTTTCATTTTGCATGCCATATATTTAATTTAACACTGACTCATTTCGATTGACCTTTAGTAGTTTCGTATCATTTTCAATATAAATTATTCCTTGAATTTTACATCGCATTTATTATGTTTTATTTGTTTGTTCTGATACATTACATATATAATTAGAGCAGAATTCAAACTTATAATACTCTGGGTTCATACATTTACGACAATACAATATCGGACAATAACATGTACTTTCTACTCTTCGTACGGACTAGATTCTATTGTTAAAGTAATTTTCAGAGAAATAAACGGGAAGCAATGCAACGTCGCCTTTGTGACGAAACTGACGTCATAATCAAATGTGCACAAAACAACCGCTCGAATCGTCGAAATTGTGTACTGAAATTGATGACAAAAGCAAACCCGCGACCTACCTTAAATTTGTATGTACATACATTCTCATTGCCGTCAAAAGGGGAGAACAACACACAGTCACTCAGTCCTTGGGTTCCCCTTCAGCAGCACTACTAGAGAGACAGAAACCGTCTAGCAGCGGGAATTATTTAATTTTTTCTTATAAAAATAAGTTCATTTCATATATAGTGTTAACATAATCAAAATTTTTGAGTTTTATAGACTCTTGTGTACAGACCATTAAAAATTACAGTTATTTTATCAACTTTTCAATAATATCTACGTTAAGAGCCCTCTATATACTGCGCACTAGAGATTTCAGGTTTTGTGGTATTTTTATGCAGATAGAGTGATCTGCCCTTTGATTAAGAATAAAATAAATTGAAATGTACAGTTTATTACTTAATTTGTGATCAAATCAAGCATTCATAACACATTAATAGGCCAAGATGAATAGACAAAACACTTCATTTGCAGGTATTTTGCCCACTTAAGTAAACAACACTGATTTCTGTTCATCAATACTTCATTGTCTTTGAACATTTTTCCTGGGGGTAAATGCAAAGCACCCTTTGTTGAAAATGTGATAGATAATCTCAATACTTACACCTTTACATACTGTAATTTTCTCTATGTCCAAAAAATATTTTCCTCTGGTGAATAGAGGGTCCTTAAGTGCATAATTGCAAAACTTTATTATTTCTTTACACCAAAACACAGTAGATTTTTTTATATGATGTACAATATTATATTCAGTTTTGTAAAGATTTTCTATCCTACAAAAGCATTTTGTATTTATATATTTTTAATGCAGTAAAGGAAATAAAGTTGTTCAAAAAGTATGCTTTCTGGTTACATTTAAAATAAAAACCAATAACAATGTCTTTCCATTGAATGTTAACTTTAAACACAGTCGAAGCTTTATCCCAAATATATGTAACATTTATACATTCAACTAGAGCTAATTTTAACGAGAACCGTTACAGATGTTCCCCAAACGGCTCCCCAATCCCTTATGATGCCCCATTCCCTACAAGCAAAAGTGAGACGGGGGTCAAAAGTGAGCTCATCTAAGTTTTATGCTTATTAGGTCCTGTGGTAGGATTTCATTTTCCCGCATTTCCCACACCAAACTCATTACTGACAAGCCTGGTATTCTTGATAGGTGGGCAGAGCATTTCAATTCGGTTCTAAACAGGCCATCTTCAATCAGCAACGATGCCATAAATCGTCTACCTCAGATCCCATTCGACACAGCACTTGACGACCCTCCATATACCACGGAAACTCTGAAAGCTATAAAGCAAATGTCCACAGGCAAAGCTCCTGGAGTCGACGCTATTCCAGCCGAGATTTATAAATCTGCTGGACCACTGATGATTCAGAAATTGATCAAACTCTTCCGGTCAATGTGGGAAAATGAAACCCTACCACAGGACCTAAAAGATGCCTCAATGGTCCAACTCTACAAGCGTAAAGGCAACATAAATTCCTGTGACAACCACGGAGGAATTTCACTCCTTTCCATTGCTGGAAAGATTCTTGCACGTATAATTCTGAACAGACTTCTTCGCCACCTTGAAAATGGGCTACTACCAGAAAATCAGTGTGGGTTCCGTCCAGACCATGGAACAGTGGACATGATCTTTGCTGCCAAACAACTACAGGAAAAATGCCAGGAACAGAACAGCAGCCTATACACAACGTTCGTAGACCTCACAAAAGCTTTTGATACCGTCAACAGAACAGGCTTATGGTTAATAATGGAGAAATTTGGATGCCCACCAAGATTCATCAACATGGTGCGTCAATTTCATGATGGCATGCAGGCCCACGTTCTTGATGATGGCAACCAATCTGCTCCTTTTGAGGTCACAAATGGGGTCAAGCAAGGCTGTGTTCTCGCCCCAACGTTGTTCAGCTTGATGTTCACAGCTATGCTGACAGATGCCTTCTCAGATAATGATCCAGGCATTGACATCAGATACCGTACGGACGGGGGAGTCTTCAATCTGCAACGTCTGAGAGCGAAGACCAAGGTCCACATTGAAAGACTGAGGGATTTTTATGTTTGCAGACGATTGCGCCCTAATTGCATCAACAGAGGCTGACATGCAAACAAGTCTGAACAGATTTTCGGATGCTTGCGACAACTTTGGTTTGACAATAAGCACTAAGAAAACTGAAGTCATGTTCCAACCGGCACCAAGCAGCTCTTACACTGTGCCTAACATCTACATCAAATCTGAGCGTCCTGTGGAAAAGTTTACATACCTTAGTTGCACACTATCCAGAAATGTCCACATTGACGATGAAGTCAACTCACGCATAGCTAAAGCAAGTTCTGCCTTTGGTCGCCTAAACAAAGCAGTATGGGACCGTCGAGGCATTACCTCCGCAACAAAGCTTAGTGTGTACAGAGCAGTTGTACTGACAACTCTACTTTACGCATGTGAGACCTGGACGGTGTACCAGAGACACACAAGTAAACTAAACCACTTCCACACAGTTTGTCTCCGGAAAATATTGGGCATCAGATGGCAAGACAAAATCCCGGATACTGAGGTTCTAAACCGGGCAAAAATGTACAGCATCGACACCTTGCTACGCTCAAGTCAACTCCGTTGGGCTGGACATGTTCGTAGAATGGAACAGCAGCTTCTGTACGGTAAGCTTGTAAATGGTACACGTTCCAGGGGTGGTCAGAAAAAAAAACAGAAAAAAAAAACGATACAAAGATTCCCTAAAAGTGTCAGTGAAGCTGTTCCATATTAAATCTACCACATGGGAAAACCTAGCACTTGATCGCAGTGCCTGGCGCTCAAGCGTGAAGATGGGGGCAAACCTGTACCAGGAAAAGAGCATCAACCTGGCAGAAAATAAACGTAAAAAGCGCAAAGAGAGGGAAGCGTCTGTCGACATTCCATCCGGACCTTCTTGTCCAGTTTGTGGAAGGACGTTCCATGCGAAGATTGGACTCGTCAGCCATCTCCGCACTCACAACAAAACATAGAAACAGGCGAGGTGAAATTATGGTCATCTTCGATATCGAAGGACGAACTATTAAGCTTATTTTATAGCCCCGGTTTGGGTTTGTTTATGATTGACTTTTTCAGAGTATTTTTGACTACTCTAGAGTGTTATTTCACGTTAAATGTTTAAGAATGTCTCTTAAATTTAGAAAAAAGAAAATTTTTTCTACACTCATGCATGTTTTTGCACGTGAGTTTTCCAACAAAGTCTTTGACACAAGGACATGCTGTAAAGTAGTACTTGAGAATGATGTTTCATCTCATACTTTCTACCACGGATATTTTTGAAGATTGTCAATTAATGAAAAGAAAGAGACGTTGAGAGAATAACAATGGACTTTTGTCTTTGTTAATATAACTGAACTCTGGATAAGTTTGTTTTGTTTGAGGCGTTCTCTGAATGATATTTAATAGGACGGTACTAGTATTTTATTTTTATAAAAAGTACTACGAAATATTTTTTTAGCTCCCTTCTTTTTTTGTTTCCTTTTTAGGTCACCTGAGTCAGGTGACTTATTGCAATCTATTTTCATCCGCCGTCGTGCATCTTTAATCGTCCGTGAACATTTTCTGCTTTTTCTCTGGAACCACTAGACCAATTTGTTGAATACTCAGTAACATTTGTACGCAAAGGGGGGCAAAGAATTTCAAGGTCCCTTTCCCCCTCCTTGGTGCCTGAGGGGTGCAACTAAAACCATCAAAACAGATGCAGACTTAAAAATCTTCTTTACTACTGGACATCAAGAAATCATATTATTAGCATGAATCCTCTACCCAAATCTTGAAATTCATGGCCCCTTGAACAGGGGCTCTAATGAAAGGGCGAGCTCTATTGATCATATAATGAAAACGCATTTATTCATTATTCAAAAAAAATATTTAATGAAAATGCATTTATTCATAATTAAAAATTAATTTAATGAAAATGCTTTTATTCATTATAAAAAAAACTTCTTTCTGTATACAAGCGGAGAAATAAAGTACATAGGTTTAATGAACTAGGGTGCTTCTAATCTAAATTTTTGATTTTATGGCCCCAAGGTCCGTGGTTCTGATTACAGGGCGAAGGTCTGTTGATGATAGGGAAGAAGTATTAATTTCAAAAAATGATTTACTATTTCACAATTTATTAAGTATACAAACTAAATGCATGGTTATCATAAGTGCCTCTTCTTAAATTGTGAAATTCATGGCCCCAGAGTCAAGGGTTCTGGAGTTAGAGCAGGACTCTATTTATCATTTAGTGAAAAGGCATCAATTATTTGTATATCTTCTAGTCTCCCTTGTATATTTAGCAGACAACTAAGTGCATGGTTTTGATGAGCAAGGATGTTTCTACTTGAATTGTGAAATTCAAAACCCCAGGGTCATGGGTTCTATTGTTATGATGGAGCTCTATTAAAGATATTGCAAAACGGCATTTTTTTTTTTGAAAATTTTATTAAGCAGACAAACTACAATGTTAGTGCATATATATGATTTAAAAAAAAAGGATGCATTTCTTTAAATTGACAAATTCATGTCCCTTTGGACAGGGATTCAGGCACTCTTTCGATCATAAAGTGAAAATGCATTTAATTTTTTTTTAAATCTCCTTCGATATCTTTGCTCCTGGAGGTCTGGCAGGCTTATCAGGTATATGGCACTCAAAGCGTTATTTCGCTGGTTTTTCAATGACATAAACAGGCGAGTAAAAGATTTAGCCTTAGTTTTGCAGCAGATTACAAGACACAAGTTTAAACTGAAGATATTTCAAATATAGACATCTTTTACAGTAACTCAGTATGTAATTTGCGGTCTTTTTTCTCTTGTCTTGAAGAATGCCCTGCATGGCGTTATGGTAACGATTGTCTTCCATGCTACTGTAATCGGAACAACACAGAGAAATGTGATGGAGTTACTGGAAATTGCACGTGTAAGGCCGGGTTTTTTGGAGAAACATGTGACTGTCAGACTGGAAAGCACACGTGTGATTCCAAAACCTCTTTTTGTCATTTGAACAACGGTAAACCAGTTTGTCTTTGTAAAAGAGGGATATCACCAACACCCAAGAATAACTGTAAAGGTACGTTACACTTAAGGAAACAAATCAATAATTTTAACGTAGATATCCACCCAGCTTTAAAGAGAAAGTAAAGTATTTTGGTTTTTCTGCAGATTTTGGTCTGCGGTTTATAGAAAGGTCTGCTAAGGATAGAGGAGAGGTCGAGTTTTACAGTAACGGGACCTGGAATGCCTTGTGTATATTGAGCTCTAGGCCTTCAGAAATTAATTATAACGTACTCAACGTTATCTGCAGACAACTTGGATTACCAGAGTGAGTGTAAATTAATAAATGGAAACAAGATTCGAGATATGCGATATGCATACATAATGAAAACATAAGAAGTACTTCCTTGAATGAGTTTGGGGAGAAAATGCAATGTTTGTTTTGTTTTTATTGAATTTTAAACTTACTTGATACAATCAACGAGGAAATGCAGGCAGGTGATAAAGAAATTATATCCAAATTTGTGTCGATTCTAATGAATTTTCTTCTATACTTCAAGGGTGCATATCGGTACATATTTTTCCAAATACATTCCCAAAACTAACCTGCCAGATTACGAAATAGCTGAGGCATCATGTGAAGGGACAGAAACTTCTCTGCAAGCCTGTAACATAACCGTGGCGCCTGCACTCAAGTGTAACATAGCTGTAGGGATTCAATGCTTAGCAGGTGATGTGTTTTACTTGGTCTATATATTAAGAGCTAATTCACGACTATGACTCGTCTTAGTACTAAAGTCACATACAGTAATCAATTTGGTGAAGTAAATGTTCTTTTCAAATTTAATCACAAAATGTAGCCGTTTGACAATGTATATTAATAATGGAAAATTTTAACATAAAAAGAGTTTTAAAAAAAGAAAAAGGAATTAATCTCTCTCTCTCTCTCTCTCTCTCTCTCTCTCTTGCACATAAAAAAGTACGTTTGCAGAGAAAGGCAAGTACATAAATTGCTTACAGACTAACTTAATATGTAGTTATTAAACTCAGTAGAAAACTTTGTTCTTCTGATATATATACATGTATACGTACCTTATTACACAAACCTTTCTTCGGCTAGATTTTAGTCTTATAAAAATATTCATATATGGAGAATTTTCGTAAAAACACATTTTCAAGGCGAATAAAATTATCAAAAATGCATGTCATATTGCTTTAAAAGAGATTTCATATGCAAAAAAAAAGCTGCTTCATTAGGTCCAATTCATTCTTTGGAAGGTTATCACTTGTGGTCATTCGAGATTTTTCGATAATGAATATTCATGAAATCTCTGCTAACAAACATGTTTATTTCATGGATGCATGATATCTCGATATATACCAGTTGAAATTAAAAATTTTAGAAATTTTAGAAAGTCATTATATTTTCAACTGAAATTGATACTAAGTGAAATGAATGCAGTATACATACATGTAAATAGGAAATCTTAAAATTACTAAATATTACAAATCACTTTTTAAGCATGTCCGGAATGGAGATATGGAACAGGGTGTACATTCTGTTCATGTAACAGAACCAACTCAGACAGTTGTGACCCAACCACAGGAGCATGTAAATGTAAATCAGGCTACAGTGGCGCCACCTGTGATTGCTTGCAGGGAAATAATCCATGCAATGATACAGTATCAGAATGCCATGCACAATCAGGAAAACCGTTGTGTCTTTGCAAAACTAAATTCGTTGGAAGGAATAATTACAATTGTACAGGTATTCTTTCTTTCTCTCTCGTTTTGGCTAGGTTTTTTTCTTCAAAAGAGTAAGGTACTAGTCAACCCTTCACTCCATTGTTTAAATAGTAAGCATGATTATATTGCGCCCTTTATGCATACGTGTCCTTTATTTAACACTTTCTATGTAATATTATTAAGCATATTAATGTGATTTCTCAACAGATTAGCATGACGGAAGGGAATTAATATTAAATGTTAAATTAAATAATTGATGCAAATACAGAACTTTGTAGTGATGTCTTCAAGTTGTTGTTTAAGTTCCGAGGGGTCCCAGTTTCATTGAATTTCATGTTGGACAGTGAACACCTATTTCCATTGTGCACTAGAACGACTTTTCTTGTTGAAATTTATTTATTAGATCCAATACGGCTTGCAAATCTATCGACAACTGTAACGAGCAGCGGAAAGAAACTCTACGCTGGACGAGTGGAGCTTTACGTTAACGGAAGTTGGGGAACGGTTTGTGATGACAGCGCCTATCCCAGAAGTAAAATGACCAAGGTCATGTGTAGAAATCTTGGGCTGCCAAGGTAAAGCAAAACGTTGTTTTACGAGATGTAAAAAACAAACAACGGGGATTGCATTTATCAGTGTTTGATATGTATACTGAAAATTATTTGGTATGAGATAGCTTTAACATGATAACAATTATGGTGATGTTTGAAGTAATATTTTTTCTCCTGATGTTTCTATCTATTTGTATGGACAGCATATACACAGATTTCCGTAAAGAGGCATATTATGGCCAAGGTAGCGGTCCAATACATTATGGCTACATACAGTGTGGCGGAACAGAAGACACTGTTTCTCAGTGTTATACTTCCACCACTGCTTATTGTGGACATCATGAAGATCTTGGAATCATTTGTGGTGAAGGTATTTATATATGCTTGCTAAAAATAAAAAAACCCAAGCTTTTGTTATTTTTCACCCTTGTATAAAGAAGGATAAAGAGAGAAGAAATACACCCATGTATAACAACTACTGTATACACAATAAAATATACCTTATAAGGAAAGAAATAAAGGAATTACAGACATAGCTAAAAACATAATTTATCTTATAATCTTATACTTTCCATATGCGTAAGAACCATGGGGGACTGCAGTATAATATATTTTCATCTGTATATCTGCTTGTCAATTGTTTTCAAGATGTTTGGATTGTTTAATTTTGATTAAGGTATGTCACTAATGACAAAAATTGTATCAATGAAATATATGGAGATAACGAACAGTATTCAAGCTCAAAAGTCCATTAATCAATACAAAATAGGAGCAGAGCAAACACGGACCTCCAAACATCAGAGGTGGGATCAGGTGCCATGGAGGAGTGAGCATCCCCTGCCGACCGGTCACACCCGCCGTGTGCTCCTTGTCATAATCGGGAAATAACGGAAAAATTCGTCGACAATTCAGTGTGTAAATAATGGCATAACAATTAGTGTGAAAAACGTCAGTCAGCATTTGACTCAATGATAAATTGTATTTGCTGACAAGGTCATTGTATCGACCATAGGACTTACGAAATGATGACTTTAAACGAGACAGATGATATTCTTGTTTCATCAACTTATTTGTCAATAATTTACCTCGTTTTAGAAATTGTACATACATGTACGTAGAGCATGCTCTTGCGTATCGAATCAACTGAGAGATATATACCCCGTATGCAGGCGATGAAGGTATATTGCTGCATAAGTAAGGGAAGTTGACGATTGAAAAGTTAAAGTCATCACGTTTATCATAAAGCTTGGTTGTTAGATTACCATTAACGTCTTTTTCAAGTAAAATATCCAAATATGAAACAGATGTGTCAGACTCTGTGGTGTCTTTTATCTCAAGTTCACAAGGATATATCGTATCGACATAAGAACGGAAATAGCCATTGTTAATTGACAATACGTCGTCGATATATCTAAATGTCGAGTTGAAGGCCACAGCAAGTGTTTTCTTCTTTTCACGTACAAGATTTTGGACAAATTCTGCTTCATATGAATACAAAAAAAGTCTGCTTTTGAAAAGTGAATTTTAGGTAACAACTCAAAGAGCATGTCTCAAAACTGTAAAGAAATTTGGGGGTCAATGTGCATCTTACTAAGCAATGGTAAAATTAACCTGACCTTTTTGCCCTTAAATTGTAATTTTAGGTTAGTTACTGTAACGTTTTCATATTTTACCAAATGTAAACATGGCAATAAATGATTATAAATTTATTTGATGTAAATAGTTTGAATAATATTTGTTATAGAAAAATCCTACAAATTAATGCGCGTAAATTATTGTGTGACCTTTCTTCACTAAAAGAACTGGCAATAAACATTTTTCCAGTACATGTATCAAGCTTTAATTTTATGACTTAAGTGCTTATCAGTTGAGAGTATCGTATAGTTTAAAAAACGAAAGAAAAAATGGGGTTACTGATGTAAATTTTGAGATAATTGTTCAAAATAATTAATTTCCAGAAATAAGAAGATGTAATTTTTTTTCTTGACTTTACCAAGCTATTTTCTTTCTGCAAAGTCTGTTGAGTGAATATGTAAAATCTGTTCTAAAAATATTAATAGAAACCTATATTTAATAATATCCCTAGCATAAATAACGAAAACATTTCTTTAAGTAAAATTGGTTAGGGCTAAAGTTTCAAGATATTAAATGAAACAGATGTGTACATTTGAAGAATTTTCTTCTAAACATCCTTCCATCAAAGAAATACTGAAATAGTCCCCCATAAATTTTGTTTCTTTACTATTTTGTGAGCTGTTTTTAGATTAAATGTTATATAATTCAAATTGTTTAATTCAAGCATGATATAAAAACTGACTTGTAATAACTAATTCTGAAAAAATCTTTTCTCAAAAGCTGACGTGTGACCCACCTTAAGGTATCGTGTACATGATAGTGGTTCTTTGTACTCTTAAATATAGACAAGTTACAGAATAGAATTTAGTTTTAATGGATTCAAAAGGCTGAGCCAACTTTTTGTTGAGGATAAGATTTAAAAAGATGAAGAAAAAAAAAAACATCTTTGAGCAAAATTTTCCCATTAAAAGGCCATGTTAGTCATATTTTCAGATATTCACATTTTTTTTAGTTAACTCAATTTTATGTTTGTTCAAATCAAATAATTTGCTAGATCATTAACAAATATTTAAGCATTAAAATTTGTTATTCAGTTAATGAGGGAGAAACGCTATTATATAGAAAATATTCTTTCAAGAAAATTCGACTGTTTGGTTAAATAAAAAAGACATTTTATAATTCAATATCTTTTTTAGAATGCCCAGCATTTACATTTGGAAGGGATTGCATAAATTGCCAATGTCTTCAGTCGAACACTCTCTATTGTAATAAAACATCGGGAGAGTGTAAGTGTAAGGATGGGTTTGAGGGCCAGACTTGCTCCTGTCGTAAAGGGAATCACACGTGTGAACTAACAACATCCATCTGTGAAAAAGGTGCATGTTACTGCAAATATGGGATCAAACCAACGTCATCGTGTATCGGTTCGTACATTTCCATTTTAAATCAATTGTTCTTTCTTTTTTTCTAAACTCTCTTCCATTTAATGGTACATGTATATGTATACTTATGAAAAAAAAGTATGTAATCTCACATCAGAATATTTTATTAATTTTATGTATCTTTCTACAGATTTAATGGATTATATGCTTATAAAATAATAAAAGTTTGTCAGTCACATTTGAATATTTTATTGTTATTAGCTCACCGAAGCCGAAGGCCCAAGTGAGCTTTTCTGAACGAAGAGTGTCCGGCGTCCGTCCGTCTGTCGTCCGTCGTCTGTAACATTTTCGACTTCTTCTCAAGAACCACTGGGCCAATTTCAACCAAAATTACCAAAAGCATCCTTTGGTGAAGGGAAAGTTTGTTCACAGGAAGTGCCATGCCCTCTTTCAAGGGGAGATAATTAAGAATTCGTGAAAATTTGGTGGCATCTTTTTATAAATTTTCTTCTCAAGAACTACTGGGCAAGAGAAAATGAAACTTTTGTGAAAAGTTTAATTACATACTGTATATTTAAGTTTGTTCATATCATAACCCCCGGGGGTAGGGCGGGGCCACAAGTTTCAGAGGGGGTCGAAGTTTTACATAGGAATATATAGGAAATGCCTTTAAAATCTTCTTGAGAACAGCAAAGCTATGATTAGTCATTTTTATAATACAAGTATCCTCAGGTAGTGTAGATTCAAATTTGTTCCAATCATGATCCCTGGGGTAGGGCAAGGCCACAAGAGGGGGTCAAAGTTTACCATAGGAGTATATAGGAAATGTCTTTAAAAATCGTCTTCTGAGGAACAGCTAAGCCATTATAAGTCATATTAATACAGAAGTATCCTCAGATAGTGTAGATTTAAGTTTATTCAAATCACGACCCCCTGGAGTAGGGCGGGGGCAAAACAGTGGGTCAAAGTTTTACATACATAGGTATATCTATGTGTAATGGTTAAGGGCCATTTCAGTAAAATACATTGAAGACTTCATATAACGCAATGACCTGACAACCCTTGGAATGGACTAGCCAAACCAAAGGGTATATAAGCCAAAGCTTTGGGAAAGCCAGGCATTCAGAAGCTAGCTGAAGAAGTTGGATGTTGAATCATCAATAAAGAAGATAAGGTATTCCATCCCTAATAGCAACAGATTCAATGAAATTGAATACATGACAGATGTGTAGGTGTTGAATACTCAGTATATTTAGACATAATTCCCATTTATTACTATTACCATGTAAGGGTGGGATTTGTCTTAATTTATGACCTTTAATTTTGGTAAGAGTTATCTCACTCTGTTTTTAATCAATAAAAAAAATCAGTTTTAAAAAACCTATCTAGTAAAAAAAATGTTTTCAATTGTCCTTCTATTTCAAATATTTTAGTGCATTTTTCCATCACAGTATTTATTGATATTCTTCTTGTTTGAATTTTTATTTTTTAAAAAAAATGCTTGTCTCCATAGACTCCAATGCAATCTTAGTTAATTAATTACTGCTTAGTTTATTATATTTATCAAACTTTCTCTTGGTAAATCTTTTTCTACTGTAAAATACTTAAAATTAATATCAGAGTATTATGTATGTGATGGACAATTAAGGATGGAGGAAACCTTACGGGTTAGAGCAAAATAAAAGTTATAAACACTAGTGGCAAGTATACTTACGGAATTGATGTTAAATTCTGAAATTCTGGGTGTAGTAAATCTAAAAAAAGAATGAGAGACCCGGTTCTTATCTATCTATGGAAACCTAGAGGAGAAACACGATGCAAGTAATACCTTACCCAGTCCCCGTCTCTAGATAGAGACAATTTAAGTACTGTGTGATATATAACCTCAGACAGAGCTGTCTTAATAATCATTCCAGTCATTAACTCAGAGTAAAAGAAAAAAAAACTATATCTATATTCCTTGTAAGATCCTGATCATACACGTTACATAGGAAATATCTTTAAAATCTTCTTCTCAAGAACAGCTAAGCCCCAGGGATTATATTTAGGAACCATCTTGAAAAAAGATTCTGCTCTAGAATAGCAAAGCCATGATGCCATGATTAGTCATATCATTATAGAAGCAGTCCCCTCTTCAATACTGAAGTGATTTCTGCTTCTTCCTAGCCAATGTAATCAGGTGAGCGATGCGCCACATGGACCTCTTGTTTTTATTTACTCTTTTTACTACAGAAAGGCTACGATTGGACAAGGCAAACAACAGATCTTTACAGTATCATAAAAACAATAAGTGGAATTATATTTGTATGGGCGATTTGGCATCGGCATTTGCAAGTGACCGTGTCATTTGTCAAGTAATGAACCTACCCACGTAAGTTTTTGATCCATATAACAAAGGAAAGTTGATATCAAATGTTTTCACATATGCTATTTATTGAAAGAAATTGCTCTAAAAGTTTTAAGAACCTTCCAATTCAGCGCAGTCATCAATATTTATCGAACTTACAAAGGAATATTAAGAGAATGTGTAAATAACAGTCTATGCTGCAAATCCATACAGCCATGTATGATGGGAAAATGTTTTCCAGACTGCCTTAAGTTGAAAAAAAAGCAATGTGGATTTAAATATCTGGAATAAAAAGTAATCTGTTATAAAAGCCCAGTAAGCACCACTAGAGGTGTAGCCTTCTTTTAGTTGCGTATTAAATTCATCTTATCATAATACAGTAAGTATGGAAATAATTTAGGTTCATTCCAATGTACACTCAATTAAATTTATGATTAAATATTAATAAAAGGAATCTAATTTTCAAATGAAATGAAAACTATTTCAGCATATCTTTCGAGCCAAAATTTGATAAAAATATCTTTTTACCGTGATAATTTCCTACAGTAAAAGTAGAAATTTTTCCATGAGGGTGACCTCTAGATCTCTACTAAGAGGATCAAAGATGATCCAACAAATGGACTATGAAGAAAATCAGCATAATTGTTTAAGTAGCGATAGAATGCGGAATTTATTTTGGGAAGCCCTAATAATATTCAGGCCTTAATTTAATCTTTTTTTTCAAATTTAAGAATTACGAATTTAAGCTTCATATGCATTTTATTTAATATTGAAGACGCATTACAAGCCTTAAGGTGGCCTATACTGCACAGAAGGGTTACAAATTCAAGATTGATGACCGATGTATGACTGCACTGCCCTATCCCAGAGCGGAATGTCTGAAATTTGAAGATAGCTCTTCCTTCTGTGACACCGGAATCGTGCAACTTCAGTGTTTAACAGGTATACATTTACACTGTTATGAATATGATAAACATATATTATGATTTGGATTGGACACCATTTTACTCCATGGAATACTCCATATACTTAATACAGTGGTGATTCTTGTGAAGGTAATTCTGAGTATAGAAAAGTTCGAATGTAATTCAACATTTTTTGGATGGATAAATGCCGTTTTTTCCTCAAAATATATGAAAAAAATAGAAGTCGAGATTTTAAATAAGGCACATATAAATAACATGCATTTGATATCGTTGTGTTATCCTTTGAATGCATTGCTTATGCGGAGAGTAACATTACAAATTACATCTAGTTAATGGATTTTAACCAATCAAATTTCAGTTTTTAAAGGAAGTAAAATATTATATACTGGATTAAAAGAGTTAAGGATCATCAAATCAAATTTATTTTACATACACGTCATCCTAGAAAACAAAAATTATTACAGTTTTAATTTTAGTATCACATTTTATATTCAATGTTTGAAAATCAAACATTGAATGTGATAAGTTTGTTTGAACACACGCTACAAATTGTAACAGTCATTCTAGAATTCGCCATGTTGGGTGTAGACCTGAAAATAAGAAATTTTCAGAAGAGTCAAATCATGTCAGTAAAATAATTGTCAGTTTTTGTCTGACCCCCCTGCGAAGCAATAAGGGCCTTACAACGCCGACCCATGTTGCCAATCAGCTGTCCAAGGCTAGCCTGAGGGATCTGTAGCCATTCCTCCAACAACTCTGTCTGAAGCTCCTATCGATTTTGGGGAACTGTTGGACGAGCTGAAATGCGTTGCTGAAAAATGTCCCATGCATGTTCAATTGGGTTCAGGTCTGGAGAACGACTTGGCCAGTCCATACGCCTAATCGTTTTACTTTCCATGTACTCGTTTACGATTCGGACTCTATGAGGTCGAGCTTCATCGTGCATATAGATGAAATTCTCCCTCCACAGTACCTGCAATAGGTCTAACAATAGGATGAAGAATATCATCCCGGTATTTTTAACCTGTCAGGGAGCCTTCAATAATGTGCAGATCAGTTTTGTGGTCAACACTTTTGCTTGCCTAAATTATCACCGAACCTCCACCAAATCTGTCCTGCTGCAACAATCGGCAAATCTTTCCTCCTTTGCTATTCATACAAGTCTTCTGACATCATGGAAGTCAACGCAAAATCGCGACTCGTCCGAGAAGAGAACAGAACACCAATGACGTTGTTGCCAATTTCTGTGTGTTCTGTTGCTCACTGTAGTCTATTTCTGCCATGCTCTAATTTTGATAAAGAACGTACGGCTGATGGCAAGCCTAAAGATCTGCTTCATGAAGTCTGTTTCGAACTTTCTGAGTAGAAGTCCGTCTACCCGTTGCTCTCTAAACTTAGTAGTAAGCTTAAGAGCACCAGCACTTTGGAAGCGTTGCCTCTTTGCAACATTGGCTAAAGAACGGTTCTTAAGGACTGTTGTACACCTTGGACGTCCCGATTTTGGCCTTCTTTGGCAGTTTTCTGCCTGTTAATATCGGTTCCATAAACGGCTAATTACGCTTTGGGAAACTTGAAGATTTTCTGCAACGCCACGTACTTTCTTGAGCAATATGCCGAAAAACTCATCAAACACGTGTTACACTGTACACAAGTATAGAATAATATGAATGACGTGTTTTTTAAACTACTGAAGTCGTGTTGTCACATAAATTCATAATTTTGTCCAGTATATTTGTATATTTGTATTCTCGGAGGGTCAAAAATAATTAGTAAAATAATGAGTAAATAAACAAATGAAAACAGTTATAAAAGGCTTCATACACACTATTTTCATTTGTTTTTGTTGCTAATCTGTGCACATAGAATGCCCAGACTGGACATACTTCACCAAAAACGAATGTCATGGCTGTCCTTGTAACGTGACAAACACAGAACGCTGTGACAAGAGATCAGGGAAATGTGTATGTAAACCTGGATATGTAGGGGATCTCTGCAACTGTAAGGGGAATACCTGTAACATCGATGTGGCTTTTTGTCAAGACAATGAAAACGGAACTAGCTGCTTATGTAAACCTGGCTATGAAAACCGAGGGTTCAAATGTCAAGGTACTTTCTTGAGATTCAAGTCTGGATGAAATTTAAACGTTTTGTTTTAATACTCCACTAAACATAAGAAGAAATCAACACAAATTTGTCTAATCAGAATCTGAATAAAAATCCCATATTAGTATTATATATATATATATATATATATATATATATATATATATATATATATATATATATATATATATATATATATATTCGATTTGATTTTTGTAGATTCTTTGAGGCTGACTTTGAGGCTGACTTTGACCAAAAATCTGACATTAAGTTTTAAAAGCGTGGAGTACAGAATTAACAATTCCTGGATTTATGGACTAGGAACACGAAACAGTTCTCCACCGTATTATGATGTTTGTGAAAGACTGGGTTTACCCACGTAAGTCAAATGCTTTTCTGTTCATTTTCATTTCTTTTAAATGTTGTCACTAGGTTGAAGCACTTAATTGCTAGAATGAAAAACAAATGCACCTATACCTTTGCAAATTTCAGATTTAATTTAATTTTTTAATAGCTTGAGATACTATTTTTAAAATTTCTCACACACACACAACCAAATTTGACTTTTTAAAAAATGACAAAATTAAATATGTAAAGAATTTGCAAAAATGAAGAAAAAAATCATTGTAAAATAGGAAATATAATCCAATTACATCGACTAAAATCTACAAAATAAACATAAAAAAAACATTTTTTAAAAGTATGAATTCTACAAACATATAAAAATAAATTCAAGAACAACTTTTGATATGTCACTGTGTGACACTACTCGTGATTAAGAAGACTGGTAAAGTTTAAATAACTGCTTTATTATTTCAATCCAAAATGGTAAGTAAACAAACAATTAAAGGTTTATATCAAAGTCCAAAAGGTACTCTAAGTCTCTCTAAACAACAAGAGTTCTGCAAAGGTCTCGGAGCCAAGGATGGTAAAAGGCTTCCGGAGCCAGGATGTTGAAAGGCTGCTGATACCAAGTGAGCACCAGGTTTTATACTAGAGGGTACAAACGAGTGTCACATATTTGGAAACAGGAATCAGATCACATCTTAATGAATATTTAGCTCATCTTCATTGTTCCTCCCACCATAGCGTTCTTAGGGTAGTTTTAATTAGCATGTTATTGTCATTTCCATATCGGAGAGGATCATGTGTGATCTATGTCCAGCCCACTAGATGCGTAGGAGATATCATATCGTTACCAGATGCTGGTCAGTAGAGTGGTCAGCGCATTCTTGCACATTGTCCGATTAATTAGAAGTACACATTAGTTTCTATTCCTGACCCTCTCAGCGTGTAGTAGATAATTAGTATACGGTAGTAGTGTCCATTACCAATTAGTGTCTTAGGATGAAAGCGCACTTAAGTATCAACAGATCATAAACATAATGTTCATAAGAATATAACATAAATACATTTATGAAAATAAAGTGAATATTATTTCACAATCATAATTAATAAATTTAATATTTAAATTTATACTGTCATTGTGTTACAACTGTCATAATGTCACATTTTTTCGCAAACTGTATTCGAATATTTTACACATGTATCAGTTGTTGGAAATTCTGTATAAATTACAGTTGTCAACATCTGTTGATAATCTCTGATACGAAAACAAGTTCATATGCTTATACATTCATTACATGTTTAAATTATATAGTGGGTTTGAAGTTAGCTAATTTATTAATCTAGGAGTAATCTAGTAAATCTAGCATATTGTACTGTGGAAAAAATTTAAAGGATTTTGTTTATAGATTGACATCTAATATTTACAAAATAATCTTTCAAGTATCGTATTGTGAATTTTCTAGGTGGATTTTCTAGGTGGAGGTAAATGCAAAATCAGTTCATGTTGTACACCTCCTAATAAATTAAAAATTACATGATATGTCACTGAGTATCAGATATAAGTGCACATGTCTTGGTTATGCAAAGAATCAAGTTCAGTTGTTGGACTGTGAGCTGCAAATTGTGGAAGCCTGAACAACATGGTTGAAGTTATGTAAATTTAAGATGTTCCAATCTTTGTCTAACAGGGTATGGATAGGGTCACAAATATTACAATATAATATATAGAAATTTCATTGAAAATCCTTTTCTAAAGAAAACATGTAGATTGTCATAATGTGTCAAAGAAGTCAGGGGCATGAGAAGGTTTTTACCAATTTAGAGTATACGTTTAAAAAAAAAAAGAAAATAGACAACTACAATATTTTTAACGCCACTTTCAACCTTAATTTTGTACAAAACACTTTATTTGAAAATCAATCACTCATCTGTAACAATTTAGATTATTCTGTGCAATGCGTTAAAAGATTCAAGTATTTTTTCTTATCATTACTAGTATGTTAAATGAAAATTATTAAAGGACAAGGTATGGTAACAGCCGACTTTGGCCCCTTATTTGATGTAAAAATCAAAACACAGTTAAAATTGTGATAATTTAAAGTTGATAACTTAAAATGTTGTTTGTTTTAAAATCAACAATAATTGTGATTCAAAGAGTGCAGGGAGGCCACAAGAGGGTGCCAAAGTTGGACATTTTTCCGAATTTCCTCAATTCTGATGGAACTTTGTCAAATGAGATACTTTTCACTTTGGCAAACATAGTGCACAAGCTTGCCTGTCTGAGATTTTTATACACAATAAGCATCTGATACTAGTGCATAAAATATATAAATTTAGTAGATAGGCAAGCTTGTGCTCTGTGTTTTCTGAAACAAAATGTGCTATAAAATTGATGAAAATTTGCATAAAAATGAGAAAATTTGGGACTTGACATATTCTGTGACCTTCCTGTGACCTTTGTGTACCCCATAACTTAGAATCAATACTCATTTTGTAAGAGGAATGACAACAGGTTAGTAATGGTGAACTATTGCATCGTTCCTGGAGACACCAGAAATCAGGGGCAACAGGGGGACTTAGCCTATCTTGTCCTTTGACAATGTTTATTTTATTTTTAGGTTTTACAATAAACTATCTTCATATCCAGTTCCACTTGATACACAGTTCGTAGATTCTATGTGTATGAGAGACGAGTATTCACGCCTGAGTCTGAATTATACCAAGTGTGCCATAGAAGATGATGACATTTACGATTATTTTTCACCTCAGTCACTCGCTGAAACAGCTACATGTTTAAGCGGTAAGAGTGCCTTCGAAGATCCCATTAAAAATCCTTCATTAAAGACAACTTATTTTTGTGATTGTACACGAATTTGCTATTCACACAAAATATACACAAATAAGAGAAAAATTAATGGCATCGTTTAAAAATCTTGTTATCAAGAACCACTGGGCCATGAAGGATGAAACTTATGGGAAACACCCTCAGGTAGTATAGATTTAAATTTGTTCAATCATGACCAAAGGGCAAGGATGACGCTAGATTAGGTGATCAAATTTCTCTTATAGGAACACATAAAACATCTTTAAAAATCTTCTTCTCAAGAACAACAAAGACATGATTGATCATGTTTATATGAAAGCATCTTCAGGACTTGAGATTCAAATTTGTTCAAAGCATGACCCTTAGGGGTAGGATAGGGCCAAAATGGGCGATCAAAGTTTTACATAGGAATAGAACAGCAAAGCCATGATTAGTCATATTTATATAGAAGCATCCTCCGGTGTAGATTAACAATTCTTCAAATTATGACCCCGGAGAAAGGGAGGGGACACAACAGTGGATCAAAGTTATGCATTGGAATATATGGAAAGATCATTAAAAATATTCTACTAAAGAACAAAAAATCCATGCTTATTCATATTAATACAGAAGCATCCATGCTTGGGTAGTGTAGATTCAAGTTTGTTCAAATCATAACCATTGGAGTTGGGGAGGGGCGACAATAGAAGATATAACTTATAGGATAAAAAAGTTAAAACTCTTCTTAGGCCTTGATAAGGCAAAGATGTATGCTCAGTTAGTGTAGGTTGGGACCACTTATGATTTAAACTTTTGAAATCTGAAGGGATTTCTGCTTTTTCCTAGCCAAAGTGCTCGGGTGAATGTTGTGGCTCGTGGGCTTCTTGTTTTCTATGATAATTAATGATAGAACCGGTCTTGTAGAGTATGTTTCCCCTCGAAACCGCCTTCCCCGCAGAAAATTGACTCTAGAGTAGTATCCTCCCGGAAAATAGACTATAGATGCGAATTTCCAAATTGAGAAAAAATATTCTGAGTGGGATTTCTCGGGATAATTCCCGAACAAGATTCAATTTTTCTTGGAGAGGGGAGGGTGAAATCCTACTCTGTTAAATAGCTATGGTGTGCTATTTTTCCTAGAGCCAATTTCCCCCATTTAAATATTTATACAAAGCTTTCATAAGATAGTGGAATTCCTAGGAAGGAAAGAAAGGGATTTTTTTTCTAGTGTGAGATTTCCACCAGATGGGAATCCTACACTGGAGGACAGATTCCAGGAGAGGACGTATATATGGGGGAAATCCTACTCTACAGCACCGGTATATTTTTTCTTAACAAAAACATTATAATACAACTGTATAAATGAATATATTTTTAATCCAAATACGAGGGACATTTGAAAAGTTCTGAGAACTGTTTGATAAAATATTAATCGTTTAATTGTAATTACTGAGTTTGGTATCATTGGACAAATCACAAAAATATACACGTATTGTGACGTCACGTTGTAATTTTTATTACGTAATAACTCTGAAAGTGACGTCAGGAATCTTGAATGTCTAGCATACTGACCATAAAAATGACGTAACAATAGACACAATTTCAGTAAATTAAAATTTCAAGTCAAATTTTGTCCATTACTTGGATGCTCGCTAACGGACACAATTACCAGTTAGAAGAATGGTTACATAGACTACAGTCTATCATATGGAGGTCATATTCAGGAGCTCCTTTAGTTCTGAGGTGGTTTAAGAGTGTGTCAAACATAACATGTTATTAACGAATCTCGCGCAAAATATTAGGTAAAAAGACGATGCTGTGAGAAAAACACAAAATTAACAATCACAGGAGAATAGTGGACGGTGTTACAAAATTTGCTGGCACTAATTCGTCAGGTGTTTTAACCAATTTTGCGGGAACGATTAACCCTCAAGAGAGGTTAAGCTAAGGATGCCCCATATTTTCTCGTAAAAACCAAAATGGCGCAGTGTAGTTCTATCCCCACCGTAACTCGATATGTTCGAAAATTTTAAATCATGAAAAATAGATAAAATTGTACATGGTAATGAAACTCAGATTTATTTTTTTGAGTCGAAAGTCAAAAGCAATAGTGAGTTTTGGATTGCCGAAGTTGAAATAAAATGAAAAAATACGCACAGAAACGTGTCCAGGGGAATACTTTTGAACGTCTTATTCGTAAGCGGAAAAGGTTCTGATACTCAAGATACATTTGTGGAAAACTGCATTATTACACTTCAGTTTTATACAGAATATGTTTTGTTTAATAAAGTGGAGAGCTATATCCCATACGAAAAAATACTATTAGAATTCAATCGGATATTCAGTTGACGGTTCGTTGACGATCAATTGACCGTCAATTGACCATTAGTTGAATTTTAGCGTTGCAAATGAGGGAGCGTTCAACTCATTTGTATAGAGTGGACAATTGTTGAATGCTCCTATATATTCTTTACAATTGACCATTAGTTAAATACTCCTCTATTTTCTTTGCAGTTGACCATTAGTTGAACGCTCCTTTATTTTCTTTGCAGTTGACCATTAGTTAAGTACGCCTCTATTTTCTTTGCAGTTGAACATTAGTTGTACGCTCCTCTATTTTCTTTGCAGTTGACCATTAGTTGAATACTCCTATATTTTCTTTGCAGTTGACCATTGTTGAATACTCTAATCGATAGTGTATGTTACATTTATAAACAAGATGTGTTTGTGAAACACTGATGCCCCCTTATGGCAGCTTATGGCGAAGGTTAAAGTTTCTCAAATGCCAGTCAAAATCCAGGCCAAAAGATAAAAAATGTTGATACCCAAAGAAAGGTCTTGTCTCGAGGAATACACCTGTGAAATTTGAAAGACCTAGCTGCAACTGTTCAATATGGAGGGTAATCGTGTTCAAAAATCCAGACTTGTAAGTTTGTAAATCCAAACAGTGAAACTTGAAAGTTTGTAAATCCAAACTTGTAATCGTATCAGTTTCATAGTCTACATATGTAAGTAGGTAATTCCGACATCCTAGCATGTAGTCCGAACATACAACTGTGTTGACTTTGAGTTTATACTATGAATGTGTGTATTTTTGATGTTGTAAACTTTGTTTTCCGGAATTCATGTTTCCGCGCTCTGAATAAAACACAAAGACAATTGACAAGTCTACAAATGTAAAGTCTACATGATTGTCGAATTTTGATTATGAGAAACTATGGAGGGGCATCAGTGCCACATTTTTCCCTTTTTTTATTCTAACTTCTTTTTCCAACTGAAAAAAATTATGTAGATTTTATTTCTTGTTTTTTATTCTAACTTCCAATTTTATATTAATATTTATGTTCCCCAAACGAAGTTTGGGAACATATTGTTTTTACTCTGTTTCTTATTATTATTATTAAGGTCTTCCGTCTTCACGGAAGACCTTATAGTGATTCTACTGTTTCTTATTATTAAGGTCTTCCGTCTTCACGGAAGACCTTATAGTGATTCTACTGTTTCTTATTATTAAGGTCTTCCGTTTTCACGGAAGACCTTATAGTGATTCTACTGTTTCTTATTATTATTATTGTTATTCTTATTTTTCCTCCCATATTTTGTGCACGCGTTTTCTCAAAAACTATTCAGTGGTTTTCAGTGATTTTTTCAGGGATAATGGACATTATTATGATCTTTGTGCATTTGAGGAGAAAATTCGAAAAATCTCTTTCGGTTCCAAGTAATGGCCAATTTTCTGATTTTGAATTGGATTTTTGTCTTTCTATCTCCTCTAGAACGGCTAAAGATATGAACGTGAGACATGTCAAAGATGATAGAGCATGACTTGTAGATGTTCTGACCAATTTTTTGTGTGTCGTCGATGCTTCCGGTCACCACCGGAAGCGAATTTCACAAATGGATTTTTTCAACTTTTTTGTTTTTCATTATTTTTCTTTGATATTATTATGGTTAATAGAAACACTTCCAAAAATACTTAATATATAGTTTGTTTTAAATTTGATAAATTCAAACTCTAGATATTTGCATTTTAAAATTTGAAGCGGGGTCAAAATGGCGGCCGTCTCCGTATACTCCGACGAGCTGGTCGTAGTTTACGGAGACAGCCGAACGTCTTGTTGAACGAAACAAGCATAAGGACCGATGAAATGTACAGGAATTATTGGATTTGGCTGATTTTGGAAATGGATAATAGGTCTTTGAAAACATAAATACTGTGACCTCCAAATGCAATAAAATTAGTAATTTGTACGGTACATAGAATATTATATATGATGATGGAAACCATTCAATGGAACAAACATTTTAAAGAAAAGCGCGAAGATTTGCTAGTGACGTTTGGCGCGAAATAATGTATTATAACACCCCTCCCTTTTCATATAGACAAATGGTCTGATACAGAAGAGCAGATAAAGATAACATGGACATGAAATACATGTATATGGAATTGCATGGAATAAAAAGTTGAATATATATGTATAAGGAATAAAAGAAGTAAACAGTATCATCAGTTCATCAGTAATAGTTTATTTATTCTGCTGACAGTTATTGTTTATTAAACTCAATTAACGAATTCCGATGTTAATCTGCTTGCACAAAATTTGGCTAGCTAGTTCGCATTCTATAAAAAGTTTTATCCTCCTTGACGCTTGTTACTTCAAGCATTGATACAAAGTAAAAATCGATGATGAATGGTAAAATTGCGCTGGTGTAGTAGTTTCCATATTGAATTTCAAAGCAAGCGATCTGGGTTTATTCCGAATTATGTCTGAATTTTCTTTCTCATTTTACCTTTCACGGTAGCTTAGATGGTAGAGCGCTTGCTCCGTGATCGGAAGGTCGTGAGTTCGAATCTCGGCCGCAACAGACCTAAGTCGATAAAAAATAGGTAGCAACTGTGCCTTCGCCATGCGCTCGCCACTTTGAAGTGAAAGTTGCGGGTCCTTCGGATGAGACCTTAAAAACCGAGGTCCCGTGTCACGGCAGGCGTTGGCACG